TGAAGCTGATTTACAGTTAAAACTCTATGCAGTTAATACTGTATGACTTAGTATGTGCCCTTTATTTTTATTCAAATAAAGATTAACGAATAGCAAATTCCATATTAAAGTATTAAGAATAATTTGGAAGATCTAAAACTCTAGACAAAAAATAATGACTTGGTTCTGAAAAAGTATCCAACTTGATGCAAAGCAAAATTCCCTAGATAGAATATATCAACCTTTGGTATCTGTCCCAAAACCTTTTCTTTAGTTATCCTCCATTTCATCTGCAGGAGACTGGATAGGGAAGAGAATCTAAAAAGTAGTCACCAGAGAAAATCTTGAAGTCTATGCCTACTATCATGCTTGTTTCAACATAAAAACATTTAATCATGTATAATTATTTTGTGTCTGTTATTCTAACAAGCTTAATATTGTCTGGAACTTCCACTTCTGTCTTACTGATACTTTGAGGGAATTGTTTTGGTTCATCTTTAAAGACTTTAGAAAGACACATTGACCAAGATGTAATATATTGTGATTTGTAAAAACCACCCTTTCTTATTCTAGCCCTCAATAAAATATTAGTGGATTGTACAGGAGGCAGAAGGTCTGGAAGTTAGATATTGGAGCAGATAGCCCTAACTTTTTCCATCGTTACTGTATTAGAATTGAATCATTTTAACTCCCTGGACTCTTCCTATTTTTTTTTTTTTTCAAGATCATACATGCTCCACATAAGAGGCCTTTTCCACTGCTCAGGTTGATGTGTTATTTGTCAGGGTGATAGTTGGAAGATATTATTTCCTATAAGAAAATTGTGCCTAAATTTGTTCAAATGTAGAGATCAAATCTGTATCACATGTTTTCCCAATGTGCATAACCCCCTTAAAAGAAGGAAAATCAGTAATAAACTAGTATGACAAGAAACCAAAAAGTAGGGTTTTGCTCCATAATGTGCAGCTGATGGATTGCAGAGCTCCGCGTCCCATGTCTGGTTTTGCCCTGCCAGAGGACCCTAAATGGGTCTAAAGTCACCCCAGAGAGACGACGAAGGAGGGGCCCCTCGTGGATTATGGAAAGATGGCGGTCGATCCGTTTGATCTGGGGGAAGCCCTCCAATCCGACAGGAGAAAGGCTAGTTGCATACCAGTGACTAGCCCAAGCTACCAGCAGCCAAAGTACAAAGGCATTAACTAGAACAACCATGAACAGTGTGCTTGGAACTGGGTGAGAATATTGATTTTCTCTCTTCTATTTTGTAACTGATTTCCTGGAAAAGATCCTCAAGAAGCAAAAAAATCCTCCAAAAGTGAGAACAGAGGGGACCACACCCCCACCCTTCCATAGACGGAAGCAACGACTTAATTTTTATGGGGACAGAAATAAATTGAAATGAACTTAATAATACTATAGTCTGGATAAATCTGAAAATCATGAAAACTGTTAAGACTTTACATCTAAAAGAGTATTAATAAAATTACAAAAAATAACTTTTTGTTTTAAAAGTTGGAAAATGAATGGCTGACATCTAGTGGAGGATTAGAACATAGAACAACAGCTGCATTGGCTCAGAAATTTGCAAGATGCCCAGAAATAAAGAACAACTTGTTCCTTTGAACCTCAGTGGCTTTTCACCAAATAGAGAAGAGCTGGGAACAGAGGAAAGAAAACACACTGGGCTACTCACTACAGAGTGAGAACTATATTTGTTTTAAAAACTGCTGACCTGGGATTATAAATACTTAACTGAGCTGTGATTTCTAAGCTCAAGAATTGTTTGCAGAGAAAGAAAAACCTTGACTTTTGGCTAATCTTCTAGGGGGGAATTTATTGGAAAGCTCCTAGGTAGTTAAACCTTCTGGACTCTAAATCTGACTGGCTGATAATTGTAAGACCCCTGAATGGAAGAACTACCGTATTTTCCGGTGTATAAGACGACTTTCTAAACCCTGAAAATCTTCTCAAAAGTCAGGGGTCGTCTTATACGCAGGAATATATGGGTAGCTGTTCTCTGAATTTAAAACCAATCTGCCCCCTAGTGGCCAGCCCTATTTTTTTTACAGAAATAAGCACTAACAGGCCAAAGCTTTCTAGCAGCAAAGGAGCTCCTATTGTGCTCATCTATAAACAGAAATTCAATATTGTACTGTATTTTCTGGTGTATAAGATGACTTTCTAAATCCTGAAAATCTTCTCAAAAGTTGGGGGTCGTCTTATACGCCCAGTCGCCTTATACGCCGGAATATACGGTATTATAAAATACTGCTTTTAACAGTGCTTTGATAATTGGAAGCACATTGGGTTATAAAAACCATATATAAAAGTAAGAACTATATAAGATTTGGTTGTTTGGACTTTAAGATTGGCTGGTTTGACAAGGCTAATTACACAGACTATGGTACCGGTGAAAGACTATCTGGAGGGAGGAAACAAAATGGATGTTACATACCTATTAAAAAGTGGCAGGAAACCACACCTAACACATCCTTCTGAAGGCCCTAGCCTGGAACATCAAAGATCTGTAGGAGCAATACTTCAAGACAAGGAAAATATTTTCCAGGAGGAAATGTATGCAATGCTGAGATTCAAATGACAATGGTTTCAAATAACGATGAGATTAAAAACAACTCTGATGACATAAATGAACATATCTTTAACTTAAATCTGTAACTAAAAAATTTTCAGAAAATGACAACAAAGAATAAATAAGCCAGATAACAGAATACAAACTAGAGGATAGGGACCCGAAGAGGGAAGCTATAAATGAAGAGAATTACAGTCTAATACAAACAAAAGAAAACTTGCAAGATTTTCCCACAACAATGGAAATGGAAAAGATATCTTATTTTTCAGACCTTCAAAATAAACTTGAAGATAGGAAAGAAGATCTAACAAAATGGATATAGAATACCCAGGAGAATTATTAGAATTTGGGAGACAAAAAATGCACATTATACCTAACTTGTCTTTTCTATTCCCAACAACATTCACAAAAATACAGGAAGAATTTCCTAGCAAGCTGAATACACTGACTTGGAAAACTACTTCTCAAAAGAAGAAGGCTAGAGTTAGATTGAAGAGATTTGATTCGACCTACCAGATGGAGTACTATATGATTAAACTCTGAATGGCTGAACAATCTATATAGCGAGCAAGCCCCCGAATTGGAAGATCCCCATCTCTTTCTCTTAGGACTGTGATAGATCTGTTCTCGAAACAGGCTCATTTCATTGCCTGCAAAGGACTCCCATCTGCCCAACGCCTGGCCAAATTGTTCCTGAAACATATCTACCGGCTGCATGGTGCCCCTAAGCTAATAATCTCAGACAGGGGGGTGCAATTCACAGCGAAGTTTTGGAGAAATTTCCTTTCGCTGATTGGATCATCTCAAGGGTTATCATCTGCTTTTCAACCAGTCCATCATGGCGACCGGCAAAACTGTAGCTCTGCAATAAAGATTTTAGGAAACATGCCTGAAAGTTCTTTGAAGTGCTTCATTAGTCGGAACATGTGACATAAACACTTGTTTTAATATGGTTAAAAGAATAGATAAATCATGGATTTAAAGGGGTCCTACAGTAAGAGGGATAAGATATATAAGTAGTATTCTTTATAATATATGAAATATAAAAATATTGGGATGGTGTATGTGAATAAAAAGTTTGGATATTTAAAGGTAATTAACATTGGAAGGCAGCTATGCTCACCTTATGATTGATAAGAATGGTTTGAATATAGAGGGGAAATTAAGCTTAAATAAGAATCTTGAAAACAGGATATACAGTGACTTAATAAGATGACTTTTATGAATATAATTGAAACATAAGCGGATCAGAAAAGATGTTGTATGCTGATATTACTGTTATTTGTACAAACACAAGAAAAATATTTATATTCAACTATGTATATATTGAAAGTATTAAGAACTATATTTGCTTAATGTTGATAAAAGGAAAATACTATTGGAAGAAGAGAAGATCAAAGAAATATATCATCAATTAATAGATTGATTATGGAATTATAGAAATTATTGTTTTTCAAATATATGAACCCGGACAACACACTGTTTACTAAGCACTAAAGATTGTTATTTCAAAAAATTAATAAAATGTATCAAAAAAAGAAACCAAAAGTAATGTCAAACAATTATAAAAATTAAAGGATTATCAGTTTTATTTTCTTGAGACTAATATCCATACTTGGAGGAAGGCTACAACTACAGTTTATTTAGCAACAAAGGAAAACATTTTAATAATGCCATCTAGAAAGTATAAACATATTAAAGTCAGAGGAAAAAATTAAAAACAACATTCATTTGCCCTGTAATACTGTGTTTCCCCAAAAGTAAGACCTACCCCAAAAATAAGCTCTAGCTTGATTTTTAGGGGTGGGCCTAATATAAGCCCTACCCCAAAAATAAGTCCTAGTTTTGGGGTGAGGCACAAACCTAAAAATCAAGCTGCGGTGGGGGGGTGGAGCTGCTCCACACACCCTGCACCCAGGCCTCCCATGAATCGACACCTGCCTCGTTGGCCCATATCTTCTGCAACTGCTCGCCACCACTTGTGCAGGTTGCCCTCGGCCTCCATTTCGCCATTTCTGGAAGGCCTCTGATGGCAAAATGGAGGCGGGGGGGGGGCGCCACGCATGTCAATCCGGAACTCAATTCTCAGCTGCAGAGGCATTTCCTGAAGGCCTCTGATGGCAAAATGGAGGCTGGAGATGATGCACGCAAGCGGTGGCAAGCAGACGCAGAAGTGGACCAGCTGGGCAGCGCTATCAGTGCAGCCGCCACCAGGTAAGACCATGGAAAACACACCCCGAAAATAGGACCTGGTGCCTCTTTTGAAGGAAAAAAAAAAGACCAGGTTTTATTTTGCAGGAAACACAGTAACAGATTTTATATTTTTTTGTAACATTGAAATATTGATCAACTCCATCTTATTTTATTAGTTCCTGTGAGCTGATGCAGAGTGTATGATAATCAGTTTTGTCTTTTATTTGGTCCAATACAGTAGTCCTCAACCTATGACTGGTGTCAAGCCCCTGGGCTTGCCATGAGCCGGGAGATGGGGAGCACACAGCCAGCAGTCAGCCGATGTCCGTATGGGGGCCTTGAGCACCGCCTGACTCCCGACAGTCAGCTGGGAGCCGGGTCGGCATCTGGAGTTCGGCGGGGAACCAGCGGGGCCACTATACACCGCCCGGCTCCCAACAGCCAGCTGAGAGTCGGCCCAGTGTGCGCACGTCAGCTGGGAGTCAGTGGAAACACCATGCGCTGCCCGACTCCCGAAGAGCGGCTGGGGGTCAGCCCAACCTCTGCGTGTCGGCCCGGCTCCTGGGAGTCGGCCCGGCTCCCTGCCAACAGCTGGAAGTCGGCATGGCCACCAGATGCCACGGGTGCCTCCCTCCGAGGAAACGGACAGCGGAGACGTCCCCACCATCGGCTGGACCTTTCAGCTAAGCAAGCCGGACGAGGGGGGGATTATGCCTCACCTTGGCTGCCTCTCCCTCCCGCCGGGCGCAGGGGGGAGGAGGCAGAGTGCTGCCTGGTTGCCTGAGAGAACAGCTGGAACAGCGGAGGCTACGTGGGTGCGTCTGGAGGGGGGAATGCAGACATTGAACTACGCCTTTTATCCATACGGACCGGATGCTGGCTTGCTGATTGGGGTGGGGTTGGTGGGCGGGGCACGTCTATGTAAAGCGCTGAAAGCAGTTCACTCCCAGTGCTGACTTTTTCTTTGCATTAAAGTTTGCTGGTCACCTGTTCCTTCTTTGCCTGGAGTTTGTCAGCAGCTGGCAGAGGACAGCTGACAACCGGTTACTTAGCAACTGGTCAAAGTTGTAACAGACCTTCTCAGGGGTACTTATGACCAGGTTCTGAAGTTCCAATGGCCACCATCCATGGTCAGATGACCACTTTGGGGCACTCAGCAATCAGCTCACATTTACAATTGTTTGCAGCATACCACAATTACATGACTGCATTTTATGTTTTTGCCAAAACTGGCATTCACTTCCAGATTTCAGCAAAACTAGCCCATAGCAAACAGTTAGTTCACTTAATGATCATTGTGGTTGCTTTATGACCGCAGCATGCACTTAACAAAATCCACAAAAAAGGTCATAAAATTGGGGTAACCAGGTGGGTGACCCCATTTATCAGTGGTCCCCAAACTTTCTGGCTCCGCTGACCGGCAGCAGTGGTGGGTGAAAGGGATGGTTTTGCACATATGTCTGCCACTTGCGTAGCCCAGTTCCCAACAGGCCACAGACCGGAGGTTGGGGACCCCTGCCCCTTATAACCATCACGGGCAGATTCCATGAGAGTTGTAAATCAAAGATTACCTGTATTTGGAATCAGAATTACTAGATACAGGTAGTCCTCAGTTTGAATCATTTGTTCAGCTGCAGTTATAATGGCACTAAAAAAAAGTGATTTACGACTGGTCCTTGCACTTATGGTTGTTGCAGCATTCCCCATGGTCATGTGATCAGAATTTGGGTACTTGTCAATTGGCATGTATTTACCACCATTACAGCATCCTGGGATTATATGATCACTATTTGCGACCCTCCCAGCGGTTTCTGACAAGCAAACTCAATAGGAGAAGCCAGATTCACTTAACTATAACATGATTCACTTAATGACTGCAGTTTTTTGCTTAACTGTTATGTATTGAAATATAGAAAGTAGTGTTAAGCCTTGTAAAGTGAAACTGACTGTTAACGCCAACTGTTTTGGAGGGAAACTTTGAACATTTATATTTGGGCGAGCTTTCCAGGTTTTGTGATTGGTTAAGGCCCTGTGGGGCTCAGAATATAAATTACAGGAAATTGCCTGCAGTTCCAGTTCGAGTCATTAAATGATGTAGTAACTATGCTGGTCTGCTCCTTGCCTACTGAAGCCCACTACACTATAACAACCATGTAAAAAAGATCAAAAAATGAAAGGTAGGGGAGGACCTAAGATGGCAACAGGGCTACAATCCTTATAAGGAACTCCTTCTAAAAACCTTTCATTTAACCTGCATCTTAATTAACTGCTTATTTTCAGATTATTTAATTTCTCTTAACTATCTTTTATAATTTTACTTAAAAAATATTGCTATGATTGAATTAGCCTTTACAGAAAGTGCATTTGCACTGTGGTCATGGGAAAAGATAGCAGATATCTTCTACAATACATTTCTCGTCTAAACCTCTGAAACAACAGAAAGTTGACAGCAGGTAATGCCCCCTCTCTTCATCTATCCAATAGCTATGACCCCTTAGTGTGGGGATTTACAGGCTGAGGTCCAGAGTCAGCAACTTTTAAAGCTTTCCTCCTCTCCCTTCCCCCCACAGGCTGTTGCTGTTTGCTCTGCCACAGGAAGGATATGAGGACTGTGTTTTCAGTCTTCCTCTTACTTATTATATGTTAAAAATAAAGTAGATTTTCTAAAAGAATCCTTTGGAAAATTGAGAGTCAATCAAATAAAATAGCTCACTCTACCAAAGCGAAAGGTTTGTGTCTAAATTGTGCCCTGCAAACCGTGGCAGAAGAAAAGGAAACAATTCACCCTGAATTCAGCTTTCTAAAGCAAAGTGATAGCAACAAACAAAAGGGATAAGTAAACAAGAAGTTTGTAAAAGGCAAATGTATCTTACAAAGTAGTAAAATAAGTTTGCAAATCCTAAGCGATAGAGTAAACAGAAGCAGATGTCGGTCAAAAAAAGCCATCACCAAATCCTTAAACCAGCTACTACATTGTAAAACATAACTAATAGACTTACAAAAGATAGAATGGCTTCCTCTTAGAGGCAGTTACAGTCAAGTTCTTAACAGTCTGTAGTCCACAGCATGATCTTCAAAATGAAACCTTCCCAACTCATGCTTTCCATTCTGAGCAAGTCAGTCCATTTTTAATTCAGTGCAGCCATAAAGGTACTATCAGTTTAGCATACACTCAGACAACTTCAAGGACACCTTATCAACAGAGCCTCTGCAACGGAAAGGTTTAAATAAACAACCTATCCAACTGCAGTAACACAGCTGTCTAATGAACCAGTACAAGAAAGTCTAATTAACTCTTTCAGTGCCTTGTCAGAACACACCAGGCTGACATGCGAGAATCCTTAATGACAGCCTAAAAACAGCCAAACCACTAATAAATTTAGATCTATTAACTACTCAGGATAATAAATTTCACCTTGAGAAACAATATGATTATGCTTCTGAGGAGGAACAATTTAACTGCACCCTGCCTTGAAGAATTTAACAGCTGCCTTGAAGAATTCAGATTCACAAAAATCCATGTAGAACTTGATACTGACAATGTAAGACTTCTCTCTTTTTAATTCATGCTTCAACAATCCTTTGAAACAACTAGAATCTTCAAAAGTATTTTTTTTATATAGTTTCTCAGGCTGATGAGCAGTCAGTCTCCTGATCATTCTAATACTCGGAATTCTGAATTTTCAGAAGCTATGCTTATTGGTGGAACTCATCAGGTCCATAAAGTGGGCATTGATAGGTCAGAACTCATAATGCAGAAGACATGACAGCATGCAGGCCAGTACAAGATCAATACTTTAAAAATTCTAACATGGAATCTTGCTTCTGGTAATAGAGGCTCCAATTTTTCTGCCCCCTGTATGGCAAAGATATACGTACTTCTGGTACAAGAAATATGGACAGTTGACGACCTCTTACTTAATGGGTACCACTCATATAAAATTGAGGCAACTCAAGGCCAGGGGCCAGAGTGGCTAAAAGGCAATTTGGGTATCTTCATTCTTACCTCTTTAAGAGTAGTAGCTACAACCATCCCTGTTTTAAAGCAAATGACTATCACCCTATTTCTCAGTTTGGTACCAGCTCATTGTTAATATTGATTAATATTTATTTTCCATTATTACAAAGAAAAGCTACAATCAATGTAGTATGAAGCAGGAAGAGTATGTTGGCAATCTTCTTTGGATTACCCAAATGCTATGGTACAACTGGAGTGTGACTTTAATGCTACAATGGGCCCTGGTGATCATACACTTTATACTAAACTCTACTAGTACTCACCAACTTAGAACTTCAGTTTAGCCTGCATCTCTTTTCGGCATCTCTCCAAAGATAAAAGATCAAATTATGATGGATTCTGCTTTGCAAAAATGGTTTGCAGGCTTAATCTACTTATACTAAATGGTTCTTTCATAGATTACCCAGATAAACTTACATTTATGCCAGGCATCAGAACAAGTACAATAGACAACATGCTGATTATAGTGAACTTTCTATTCTATGTGGACAATTTCAAAGTACTTCCTAGTCTAGATACCAATCATTTTTCACTTTGCCTGTATTTGAAGCCTCCCACTCAGCAGCTGTACCTAGAGACTTGTTTCACTCCTTCAACTTCTCCAGTAGGTCAACCAAGATGCATCAAATTGACCTCTCAGTTTAAGCAAAAGATAGAGGGCATTGACAGAGGACAATCTACAAAACTCTCAATTGACCGTCATGTCACCCAATCTCACTCAAGAACCTTTGCCTATATGCATAACTCTAATAGCTACAAAGCTGCAACTTTTATTGGCTTGTGGTACAAAATTCTCAAATAAATGGTGTCCAAGCCTTTATAAATCACCTTTATAAATCTGAGATGGAGACAGTAATGCAATAACTTTTGAACATCTTCTCACCCCTAAAAAACAATATAAGCAACTTAAAGTCCTTTATAAAGAAGAAAGATATAAAGACCAGCAGGAAATAACTTATTGAAGCAGCAAAGAAAAAGAACTTTACTCTTTTCTGGCATCTAATATTTTACCAGATTTCCAAAGTTTCTATTCCATTAGAATCTCATATACCTCTGGAGACTTCCAGTTAGGCATCGGGACATGATGGGTGCAGGAAGATGGGGCTCTGCCTTCCATGTTTGATTTTGCCCCACTGTGGACCCTAAAAAGGTTACCCCAGAGAAGTGATCAGGAGGAGTGGCAGCCCCTCCATTTGATCCAAGGAAGCCCTCCAAACCGGCAGGAGAAAGACTGGCTTACACTTCTGTGAACAGTCAGAAGCTGCTGACAAACGAAGAAAATAAACACTAACGAACAACTTTTGAGCAACGTGGATGGAACTGGATGGGACTTTATCCTCTCTTTATGATTAAGACTTTTTTCTGGAAAAAACTGCCCAAAGCAAAGAATCCTCCTTGATGAAAGAAGGAAGGGGAATTTCCACCCCATTCCCTCAGGAAAAGAAAAGCGACGAACTAATTGCTTGGGGGAAAACAAAAAATCACAAGATTAATTTGGAACCAATAGCTTTGAAATTTGAGGACTAAAAGTATTTTTGATGGAGGACTTATCTGAGAGCCTCCCAGTATCTGTATCTGTTAAGTTTGTTATCAGCCAACTCAGAAGGAGGAAGGCCTCCAGTTTATTTCCTCCAGAACTATTAAAGAATAACTTTGGTGGGTACTAATCTTGGCACCGCTCTTCTATGTTGTCATCATTGGCTACGTCCCCGAGGACTGGAGCCTGGAAATCATAGTTCTGATCTTTAACAAGAAAAAGAGAGATGACCTTGTTAACTAAAGGCCAATTAACCTGCTTAATACAATAGCAAATGTTATGCTAAGCTCTCCCATGATAAACTTAAGGACTGGCTGGATCAAGGAAATCTGATCTGACTGGCAGAAGAGCAGGCCAGTTTTAGAAAAAGTAGAGGCACCATTGAACAATCATTGGTCCTACAGCCCTTGATTGAAAAATATTCAACCAACAATCTAGTATCATTGTATGCTTATAGATCTTAAAGCTCAACTTCTGTTCTCAAGGCTTAGCATCATTAATTATTCAGGACAATTTTCAGTCCCCATGGATCAAGGCTGTTGAATCTAATCTCTCAATTTTAGGCTATTCAGAACCCTGAAATAAAGGAGGCAGTGAAATAAAGGCTACAGTGAGGCAAGCAGATCTAGGGAAGGCCCCTCTTTCTATCACCAGCATGCAACAAGATAGATTGTCACTGCTGCCAGCTACCTTATACAGCTAGAAACAACCAGCGATTGGAAAGCTTTTTCTCTTGCATGATGCCATAGTCTCTCTTCTGACTATTAGTTGATAAATATAAAAAAATACTATTGACTGAAGGCTCTGCTTGTGATTCTGGAGAGGTAGAAATCACACAGCATGTTCTTCTTTATTGCTCCTTTTATGGAGACATTTGAACCAGATTTATATCTCTGATTAGCCGATATCTTGAGCGGCCAGATTCAGCCTATGCTCAGATGCTGTTCATAGACAAAGTACCCCTTATTACAGTGCATGTAGCTAGGTTTCATGCTGTAGCAGAGAAAGACCACCGAACCTTGACTGGTCAATATCCCACAATGCATTCTTTGTCATTATAATCCATTTAAATTTTAGATATTATTACTTTGTTAATATTAATACTTTTGGATAGTTTTT